GAAATTCTTAAATAACGTAAGAATATTTATAACGAGAGAAAAATTAATGATACAATTTTTGAGTAATTTAAAAAATAGCATTATCATGATCAATAATTATAAATTTAAATGATAACATTATAATATATATATAGTAATAACATGATTAAAAAAAAAATCGATTTACTTAAATAGATAATTGTAAGATTAATCAAGTACATATCTATTATGTATCCATGGAAGAATAAATAATTTTTTTAGTTTTTCCACATTCTCTCCTCGCCTGCTTCAATAATCGGCATGTATTAGCGCGTCATATTCAACGATTAGAATCTTAACTTTCGCTACGCTAATGAAAACGATTCGGTACGAAAATCAAACGCTCGTCAATTTGCTACAATGAGTGGTAAATGCAAAGTGTACAGTGGTTATATAATAATATAATATATTCATGGAAATGTATACAACTTCCTATATATATTCGTATATTATCCGTAGATAATTCTATTTTAACATCGTAAAATAAATTATCACTCGTATTTATCCATATATATTTTATCTATATATATATGTGACAAAATAAACTTTAAAAGAATTTTTTATTTGAAGTAAAAATCAATAGATAAATACGAATGATGCTTTATTCTAAAATGTTAAAATAGAATTATCTTATACATATATATATATATATGAAAGAGAGAAGTACGAAGAAAATATAGATAAGGACAGATAAAAAAATTTTAATAGAACAGTATCCCTTCGTTTTTAAGTAACTATTTTCTCGATATTGAATTTAATTAAATAAATTCTTGGTAATGTAATCTAATATCCTCAGAAGAAAAGTCGTTTTCCAATATGAGAGAAAAGGATGTTTATCAAACACACACTTTTTCTCTCACACTTAGAATCTTTACCGAATGCTTTACATAAAGGTTTTCGTGGAAACATTTATCCGAGTAGAAAAATATGCATCGGTCAATGCCAAAGCAGCCGTTATTCGTACATCAGTCTAATAATTCTGTTTGTTCCAGCGGACGAGGCGAACAGCAACTGACTCACGCACTCGCGACTCACCGCGCAACCTAGATCCGATTTTATCTCCGTGCTATAACGCGCCGTGCATCGTGTCATTACGTGGCTTGAGAAAAACAACGTGTCCCCGTGCGCCGTTATATCGTAAGTATATCCTTGGGCATTTGTAGAAAATTATTATCTTCCCGCTCTTTTATGAATGAATCGTCCGCTTTCGTAAAGCGACGTAAGGAGAAAGCGCGCGAAACTACTTACTTGCCGAATCGCGATTTCATCAACGCCCGGAGGGTCACGAGCAGGATCGGCTTTAGACATATAAAGACCCCGATCGACGGTTCTTGACTCTTTCATTTTCTTATCCCATATCTTGACCGCGTTTATTGTAAAAAATTTGATTAATTTCATACGGAAATTTATCAAATTGACAATTTGGAGGATAATGAGAGAGAAGTATAATGGCCATGCTTACAAGTATTTACATCGGTGAGATTGCATTATCTTTTTTCCGTATTGAATTTTCTTGATAGCACCTAAATAAACGCACATATCTCGATTAGCCTCGAAGTCCGAGAAAAGTTAAGAACGCATAATAAATGCACGCCTCATGATGTCAACGGGGTCGTCATTTGCGTGCGAATCACATGCGTGTGCATTCATTGCGCATATACCCGGGCTCTTTCCGCATAATTAATATTACGGAATGGAAGGTAACGTCACGAATCGAAAACTTTATCGAGACTCTACATGCCCGAGCTCCGGATTGTGTCGCAGTTATAGGCTGCGAGAGAGGAGTGAAGCAACGCGAAGTGTAGCAATCGGAACATACTCAGAGATATATGAGATAAATGGAAAGACTTAACGACGTAATTGAAAGTGTAAACTGCGCAAAACCAACATCGGCCGTAATTCGAAAGCGATATATTCGGCCGATGTAAATCGAATTTCTAGTCGTGTAATCAAAACGCCGCATTCTCGTGTAAATACGCGTACAAGATGACAAAATTAGAATAATAATTCCCGATTGCGTGAGCTTTAAACTATACGTTACTCGCGCGAAACCTATTTGCTTGAAACTAGGTATCGCGCGTCTCAGAAAATTAACTTACAAGTTAATAAGTATATTATCTAAACTCACGTTGCGCAGCGTCGTAAACGACCTCGAAAAGGATGAATCGATTAATTCTAACAAAAGTGTTGAATTACGATATGTTTTCCCAAGCGGATCACATTCGTTCGATATTAGTTTCGATCGACTGGAATCGTGACAATGACTATCACGGGCAAGGTCAAGCGATAGGAACGAACGGAGGCGGATCTCGAAGAGAAGAGAGCGGTCGATGATAAAAATGAAGGCACGGGCGTCGCTATTTTCGATAAAATAGCGGGTTCGCATTCCTCCGGGTTTGCTTCATGTGCGTATTTCGTGTTTTCGCAATTCCTCGCTATATAATCGCGCGAGCGCAATTATCGCGTCGGTCATAACTTCGAAAATCGATTCTCATGTTATCGTTCGAGCGCCTCGCATAAACTTAGCGATAAACCGTGGAAATGGGAATAAACAGACTATAAAAGGCTTGTTTAAATTATTTAATACCGGCAGAATCTTTTAGTTAATTTATTTAATAAATTTGAAGAAATTGTAACCAAAAAAAAAAAAAATCGACTTTTTTTCAAGCAGAAAAAGGGCATTGATTGTGCATGAGTTTATTTCAAACGAATTACTGAATAGAAAGACTTTCTCTAACATATATATTTTATTATGTATAATATGCAAAACTACCGGATGCAAGATTATTCGAAAAATTTTGTGTGCGAGAAAAAAAAGCGATAATCTTTCAGTTAACCCTGGGAAGTAGGCGCGTGTAGATGGATAAGACTCCGCTCTCGCGAGCACGTTTTTAATCGCCGCGCTTTTATAGCGCGCGTGTGACCGTACGGTGGATAATAAATGCGACGTACAATGATAAATGGCGTATAACACACCACGATTTGTCTAGATATACGCACACATCGGAGAGTTTGTACAATCGCTTATTCGCTATCCCGACGATGCGAGAAACAAAATAATTCATTGTACGATCTGCTCGTGTATATCAAAACTCGACGCGAGAACTCACACTTTTCATTCAGATTATTTCTACAACGATCATTTTGACGCGTTGGATCTATACGGATTCGAAATAACCTTGGATGAAAATTAAAACATCTCGTCCGTATGTATACGCAAGTTTTGCCGAAACGATAATCGCATGCCTGTCGCTCGCTATTTATTCACGCCGAATTTATCGAACGACAATATTAGCACAAGTTGATTCAATCCGTCTTCGACAAGCGTTTTCAATGCATTTCGCATCCGTTGTATCGCCTGTATGTACGTCACATCAGTTCTGCTCGACGATAAACACGAATCGAGCAATAAGTGTGAATCAAATAATGATTGACGTCGCTCGTAATGTTTTGTCGGGGATAGAATTGTAGCTAAGAAGACAAACAAATATATATTGTTATAAAATAATATATAAAATAATTAAGAATGTCCAAAAAATAATATCCAAATTTGTCAGTTCTGATTTTTTCAGCTGTGGAGTAGATAAAGTTGACTACGACATTGAACGGAATTCGATAATCAACAACAAAAGTGCTACAGTAGATAAGGATGTATTGATCGAGAACAAATATTGAATAGATTTAAAAATTATCGAATAGAGTCTCGAGAATAGTTTGAAATAGAAGAGCGCAGCTCTCTCTCTCTCTCTCTCTATCTCTCTCTCTCTATCTCTCTCTAGAAGTCAAGCTGGTATGAGAACTATTCGCCGCGTATTGTCGACAACTAGACGACTCATTGTCGCGTTCATAAATTCTCGTTAGTCTCTGTTAACACCGTGTAATAACTCAAAGACGCTATTGCGCGGTCGAGCACGTCTAACGGAAACGTCATGTCTATCACGTCGCTTATATTCTGCAAAAAGTTCACTGACTTCCGCCGCGATTTCCCCGCATGTGAAACTTCAATTAAACCTTTCGTAACGACTCGAATCTTTATGAACTTTTTACTTTTTCAATTTTTTTTTTTTTATGTGAATCTTTTAATTAATGTATTGTTAATATTTTTAGACTTTCCATAGGTATTTATTTAAATTATTCTTAAATATAAATCGATTTAAAAATGTATTTTTGTTTAGAATCATGATTTGTTCAAAGATTTCACGGCGATAGTTTATTCGATAGTTTCGCTGAAACCGTTTAATTTTTTCAATATCCGAATGGGCGATCATCATTACTTTTATATGAATTAGACGAGTCACGCATTCTTATTTATGATGAGAGAGAGACAGTGCCTTAACAATTCCGCAAAGTGCGCCAAATGCTTTATCCACAGCTCTTGGCACGTCATCTCAGTAGGATTGACGATACAAGAGTCGCGCCGACATAAATATAGCACGGACTCAATCTTCTCTGTTTTATTGTCCGTGTCGCCGTTTTCTTAATGATAATTTTTAAATAAAACTGTTACGATATTAATTTGCAAATATAATTACATATTACTCTAAACATTTTGTAAAATTCAAGACAGATGATATGAATTTATTTAAGATATATATAATAATAAGCGACGTCTTTAAAGTCTTAATGTGCCGAACGTAATAGTCAATTTCCTAGCTAAACGAATAGATAAACATTATATCGAAATAATAACCACAAGTTTTAAAAGCGCCCGGCAATTAACTTCTTGTGCGATAAGCAGCTTTAATTACAGTTTGCTGCGTACGAACAGTTGAAAATTCCTCAACGCTCGGTTATACGTGACAAAGTTTAACCAGACGAGATAGCGGATGATAACCCGATTTCTCAGACATCGTTATCGATATCGATTTATGGACGAAACTAAACAATCGTAATGACAATTTTTCTGATTGTAACACGTGCTGTGGAAGCCACCGGCGCTTCACGAGCAGCTAATGGAAGATATACATATACCGGTAACTTACTCTTCATCGGGAGACGGAAAATGAGTCTCAAGAAACGCCCTTGCGCCTCTTGAAGCACAGCTGCAACGTAGATCGGCGACGCTCTCTCATGCGCGAATTAAAGTCGTTGCATCCCACTCGCGCCGATGGCTCGCCGATTACGTGTCTGGTTGTTTATATCCCAGAGAGACTTCGTCGTCGTGTGCTCGCTACCGTGAATGTGAATACGAAAAAAGCCCGTGGCGCGGCATTAAAAATCCGCGGGCAAGGCCGCGTTTTTGCATTGATCAGGTATGAGATCGCATGGCGCTCACTCGCGAATCTACATCCGCTGGACCTGAACCTCGAGCATGAATACACAAGTCTACCGTCCGTTTTGCGTTTTATTCAAGTCCCGACTTGTTCAAGTTCCACGCGATTGCGATTCTTTTCACTGTAATAAACGTGAAGATTACACAATTGTGCTATATACGCAATGTCACTTTTGCACTGATTTTCACGTTATTCTCCTCTAACGAGATCGTTTTATTTTTCTTGTCTTTGTTTCCTTTTTATGTCTTCGTTTCACTGCGTTCAAAGCTCAATTTTTTTATCGCTCGCTTCAAGAAATACGATATCACTCGGCTGACAATGAGCACAAGATCTGTTGTTCTCCGGACAGATCCTAATTCGCGAGAGAAAAATCACGGTGGACGGACATACGAGAATAATAAATCCCAACGTTCACTCGGCGCGGCGGTTGGCGCGGCACTGACAATTGCGTATCGGTCAAAGAGAGGCGCCGCCACCGCGGCGTGCGATGAGCCGGGCTCGCGCAATCGCGTGATCTACGCGCGCGCTGCGCGTCCACTCCTCGCCTCCCTTTGTACCGCCGCCATCGCCGCCGCCAGAATTAGACAAAAGAACGGAACTTTGGTTCCCTGAAAGAATCGCGTACGCACGCTAAATTAATGCGTAAAATTTTGTCGCACGTTGCATGTCTATGCAAGAGGTCGATACGAATACAGTTCACGCGTGTATCTGCGTGTAAATGCAATACACATATCATACACGTAGATATAATACATATATCGCAGATGCTGCGATAGTTTTACAAAAGATTACTCGACGTGTATACAACATCGTGTTCTATAGATTGAGTAAATCATCTCTCATTTATGGTTTTTTTTTGGCGAGTTTGTAATCGATTTTCCTTTAGCGATAACGAGAGAAAAATTAACATTGTCGCGAGTATGCATTGATCGAATTTTTTTCAGTATTAAAGGCTTTGAAAAAAAGTACGTCATCTTGTGTAGAGATAATAATATGATGTTATTCTGTTTGAAAAAAATGTTTCTTATCAGGATGGTACGTAGTACGTGTAACTCAATTAATTGATATAAAATTATAATCGTCGGTTATTTTAACAATAAGAAAGTTATTCATTCAGAACCCGCTTATCATTGTATTATGTAATGCAATGTATTTTTAACATAAACTCTTTACGAATCGTTTCGTTTTCTGACTTTATATTCTGTTGACATTTTAATTTTTTACATAGATCGTTTTTCTAGATTTGCGACGAAGACGATGCATATTTTATCAGTACGCTGATTTCACAATCGCAATCTATTCAAATTGCTGGAATATATTTGTCTGAGTTCGAACCAGTATCCAGAGCGAGATTAAACAACATATCGTGAATTACTTAAACTAATTTATTTGACCGATATTCGCGCACATAGTGTGTACTTATATCGAGATTTATCTTTACGAAGTATTTGTGCCGCTCACACGTACGGTAAACATCTGTCTATTTGCCACGATTCTCGTGTCGCGACATTAAAGTAGGATTGGAATCATTAACGCATTTAGCCTTTTAATCTAAATTAATCTTTGCGACTATGTTAGGATATTATCGCGCAATAAAACGTTAACCTTGATGACAATAGCGATCCTACGATAGGCTACACCCTGCATACCTCTACACTAAATGAAAACGTTAGCTCTTCGAGGTCGCCGCCATCGCTATTAAATAATACAAACCGTTGTGGACGCAATACACCTATTATTATTTCACATATGTAATATCGGCTCATTACAAATTACAAATACGCGTTTCCATGAACTCATTTTATTATAATCTACTTTGTTTAACTATTAATCGTAGACATTATTGAAGCTGGCATTTTCATCTTTTTTATAAATACGAGATAACGTTAAATCGTTTCGACAAAGTAATAAGTCATTATTACTTTAAAATGCAAAATATGCGCTTATTAATAGAAGCCCTAGGAAAAATTTTGCGATCACGACAAAACGATAGGGTCAAAAGCTTTCATAAGTCATTCGCTAGCGATAAGAATTCTGTGGCGATAATGAAGCAAATGTTTGAAAATTACATGTATACATCGCAACTTTTAGTAGCGCAAGCCGTTCCTGTGGAGAGTTTGAGATATAATAGTAGACCTCGAAGATTGTGTTTATCGCTGAATTTTTACAGACCAATATCGCCACCGATGCATGGCGTCAATGAAAGAAATCTCAAACAGAAAAATTTAATCATTCTTTTATTCATATCTGCATTACTAAAAGTTACATTGATAATCGTTGCATAACATAACGTACGATATGTCATCTGATAGGATTTGAAATATTACATATATATATATGTTTGCATATCAGAAATAAGAATTTCAAATTATACTGGCTTATTAATATTTGCATTAATTCATTTTAATGTTGTCGCAAGAGCAATTTTTAGATTATATGACGTATATTTAATGTGTACAAAGCACAATATTTTTCAGAAATATTCTTATTGCATCTTACACGGTGCATTTCAGCAAATGAAATATATTAAAAGTTTATTTGCAGTTGATTGTTGACACATATATAAGGGAAGGAGTACAAGGTTTTTAATTGGCTCTGTATATAATGCATATATACACGTGTCTCTATACAAATATAATACATTAAATAATAAAATATTCTATTTGCTACAATATGTATAAAAAAAATATTTCCAAACCTTATATTTAAAAACATTTCTTTGTTTGAGATTATGTGCTTTCTTTTAATTAAATTATATGGGTGATATTGATTGGAGCTTTTCCGCTGCAAGTATGCGACGTGTATAAGAATTGTATTAAGATTAATAAGTACGTGGTGATGCTACCCACTATCTACAAGCAAAATTATAAGATAAACGATATACTTTCATTATTAATATTTAACGAATTATATATAATATATAACGCCAAATGATCGATTACTCACTGCAGTGAGAAGTGTCGCGTCCACATTGAGACCCTTCGCAGAGAATGCATTTTCTCGATGCAGTATTTGCAAAGAAAACAGCTGTAACTGCAATGCCAAATCGTGCAATACTTAAATAAAGGTTTTGAAAACGTTATTAAAAATGCATAAAAAATTTAAACATAATAAAATTACATTTGTGTACTTGTTTTCATGAGAATTAAATTATATAAATTAAATTATATATATTTGAAAGAGAGAATGTAAAAAATTATATATATTTGAAAAAAAAAATTAAATTATATATATTACAAATTAAATTATGTATATTTTGTGTGCTACCTCGTCTTTGATCTGCTTATCGCTGGTATTGATAAGCACTTCGTGAACGGTAGTGCCAATTTCCAGAGCCTGGTCCTTGCCGGTCTCGCAAGCCCACACTATCAACGCTAATTTCATAGAGTAATACAGGATGGACGTGATGTAGTACGAATACCAGAACTGTTTTTCCAAATTGATGAGGGCTACGCCGTTTTGTCGTTGCACTATATAAAAGTATAGGCTGAAAGTGATCTCGGCAAAGGTCATGACTATGGTAGCGAGGATCTGTAGACTGAAAATCATGTTCAACATCTGTACCGCATCGCTGACCATCAGATGCCGTTTCTTTAGAGCCTTGAGTTCCATCAGTAGGAACGGATTTCTCTGCTCGTGGTAGATCCGTCTAAGGAGATGCGGTTCATCGTTTATCACGAGTTCCCGCAGGTTTGCCAAATTTTCGTTGATCTTCTTGAAACAGGCCTTCAATACACAAACGCAATTCATATACAGCATATCCATCTGAAAGACTAGCAGAGTGTTATACAGCGCAAAGACCTTGGCAAAGATGTCAAGATAATTTGCGGAATAACAGTTCGGCGCTTGTCCGATTAGAAAGATGAAACCGAAAATGTCCTTGGCGTGGATTAGCCTAGATAACTTCTCATACGTTTCTGGGGGCAGTCTTGACGAGATATCCAACACAGTCTGGAGCAGGCGCATTCGCGGACCGCTCAGGATGTACGTGACGATTGTTATAAAAGCGCCTAACAAGTAGTAGCAGTTACCCTGAAGAGCTCCAGGTACGCCGACGAACTCGATCCTTCCGGAGATATCGATCTCATAAATCATCATCAATCCATAAACGCAGAAGACGCAGATGATAACAGTCGACAGGATGTAGCGCGGTCTAGAGGTCTCGAAGGTTGAACCGTTGATCTTATACGGAAATATTCCGAGAATCCGGCAGAAGAGAAAGCAAGGATACATCAGGGATAGAAAATCCGTCGCGTGAAACAGCCGCCATTTTTTTCGCACTTTGCCCTTGGCTCTTCCTTGAAACTTTGATGACGGATGGAACATGATCAGCGGAGTGTCATGGGAGAATAACAATCTAAATCGTAAACTAAAATAATTATTAATCACATTATTAATGCACTTTCAGCATTAATACAAGCTCAATTGCGAGTGTAGCTTCTTTTCTGAGTTTAGCTTCTGAGTTTGTCTTTTCGCGACGAATACGTAAATGGACATAGACTCTTTGTGATCTCTGTCTATATCCGGCGAGTTTAAGTTTAAAACTGCGAGGAATTCCTGTATCGCATAGTAAGACAGAAGACGTAGGGATCATTTGTTAGCCGTGAAGTAACCATGGCACTCTTCGATCGGTACTTGTCACCCCTGGGATGCAGCGCCTAAAGTAATGATGTGTAATTGCTGTGACATACGACCCATCATCTTGCGCATCTAGATCGCGCACAAGGCGAATCATCTGTATACACGAAACAGGAAGCATCGGCTGCGCAGTATCCACGTGACTCAGTAGCTCTCAAAGATCTGTTAATAACGGCCGTCTGATTTTACATTCCATATATATATATATATATA